CAAAACACATTTTTTTTTTTTAATGGCTGCTCGGCCTATTATGTCACTTTCACAGTACCAAAGCCTGACAGCAAAACAGCAAAATCTGATTGTTTTTTTGAAGCCCGACTAATTAGCGCTGCTTATTAGAGATACGTCAATGGGAAACGAGGGGGAAGAGGAGCGCCTTAAGGGTTCGAGTGGGAGGCGAGCGGCGGCGCGTGCACTTAAATGGGACGACGCAGTTTAAAAGCAAAAGGAACTGTCAATTAAAAACAAAAATGCGCCGATTACAATGACATCGCGTTCACCCTTCGCTGTACAACAGGGATTCTCAAAGTGGACTCCCTCTAGTGGTACATGAAGAATTACTAGTTGTTAGAAATGTTTTGCATGTTAAAGTGGTCTAAACTATTTTTAAATCATTTGTTTAAATCAACTTTCAGTACAATACATTTGCAACAGTTTCAAATGACAAAACAGTGACCGCTTATTTATTTTTATTAGTTTTTATTTCAGTTTTGATGTTTTGATGACATGCAATCATGTGACAGTTTTATACACAAAATGCCACATCATAGGATATATCAGGTTAAGTGATATTATAAGGGTGCAGATTTTCCAAGTCACCACAAAGATGATGCTTGAGTGGAATTGTCCTCTGGTTTCTCGAATAGATCCTGGACGATTTCACTTGAAGCGGATTGCTTTGGGAGCCTCGACAACAAAAACATTTGCATAATTACAGCAATGGTCAAACAGGGTTTATCATGGAAGAATTTCTGAATGGCTTGAATGGTTCTTTTGCAAAGGTCAATTAACCCTTTGAGGGACAGCGGTTACTACAGTGGACAGTTTATCAGGTTATCAGGTTACAGGTTGTCATTATTGGCGCATGAAAGGGTTCATAAAACCAGTACATTTTGTTAGGATGTATTTTTTTCCATTTGAGACCATCTATTGTGAGGATCTACAAAGTCAAAATCAAATCCCAGTCATCTCAATCGACTGTGCAATCAAATATTTAATCCACAATATATTACTGTATGTTATCGCTTCCAGTTCATTCCGCAAACTGACAACTGCAGCCAGATCTGCACCAAGCAAGAAACCGGTAATGGATGGCTAATAATAGAGAGAGTGGGCCACCGTGTTGCAAGCAGAATGCCTCTTCATGGATGCCCAGCGCGCCTCAAAGTGCGCCGTTGTCCTGTGAAGTGAGCATCTGACGCTTGGCTACACAACGATCAGGCATGGAGAGGACACCTCAATGTGCCTCCGCCATATGCCACGCTCCCTCGAGGGGGTGCGGAAGAGGATGGGGAGGGGAGGTCCAAGTACTTACACTCTTTTTTTCCTGAGTGGACAGCAAATGGAATGTCAGCCACTATATGTAAAAAAATGAATAAATACAAAGTGACACTGCGGTCAGTGGCTTGAAGGCAGCACCCCCAGTGATGAGCCATCGTCACATAAAATGCTCAACATTTTAAATACCTCCCTGAGTTATTGCTAAGCGTCATTGGATCCCTTGAAAGGTGTTGTATAAATACAAGCTATGATTATCAATGTTATTATTGTGTCCATAAATGTACAATATGTACTTTTTTGAGCAGCCCTGGCAAAGTTAATAAGCCTAAAGCCAAGACAGTGAAATCTTGGTTTTTGTGATGAATCTGTTGCAGGACCAGTACCGATTTGTACTAAAACCAAAGCAACATTTCCCATGGGAGATAAAGTAAATTGAGCTAATCCGTTTCAGACAACCAAAAATAAGAACAAAAAAATGCACACTGTAGAAAATAACTGTTGCTTTATATACAGTGTGAAAAAAAAAAACAATGACTAATAAAGTGGCTAAAGGAACATTTTTACCTTTAGTGAAGACTCTTGATGGCGTATACCTCGAGAAGGGGAGATAGATGAGCCATTCCTTCTCGAATTCTATATCATGTTTCTTGCCCTCTTGAACAAATGGCCATCACTCCGAATTTGCTGCCCTATGGGGACTGATTTAGCTGATTTATGCTTGCTTATTGAGTGCGACTGTTGAATAACACACCTTGTGGCCAAATTGCGTTGAAACTGAGTTGATGTACTGTGTGCTTTTATTTTGAAGGCCTGACTTTTGACCAGGTGGATCATTGCATTTAAATTGTTAAAGTGTCAAAGCTTTGTATTTGAAGTCACCGCTAATATGACAAGCCATACGGTCACATTGGACCAACACGGACACATCCACTCGACTCAAGAGCACAGCTAAAAGACAACAAGCATTACCAAGGCCAATAAACAGAGGCCCTGGATTCTTATGGGTATTTTACTGCATTTTCCCAGGGCCCAGATGGAGGCTTGAAAGGCTCACAGATGAATTGAAAAAAAAAAAAAAAAGCTGAATAAATCATCTTCCATGTTTCCACTCCTGAGCATTACAAAGCGCGGCATCTACTTTTAGACTTCAAGCGCTATAATGCTCTTTGCTTAGCGGCGTAAGCCAGCGAACGCTCCCTCGTGCTCGCTCGGTTCCCGTCTGTCTTCCGAGCTGCCAGAAAAAGTGCAATGAGATCACCGACATTCTGTTTCCATGCACAAAAAGACTTGTGATAAATACTTTTAATGGCCACCAACAGAACTGGCGTGAAATAGCGTTGCTTATGTAAATCCTGATTTCTCAATGTGGAACGCTAGTAGAGTGCCAAATGAGGAGGTGTTACACTCCACTGGCATCAGGGACCAATTGATTAGGGGAAAAAGTGTCCCAACATTTTGGGTGAGAGCATTACCGCCACCTGATGGATTGGAGTAGAAGCCCCAAAAATGCAAATTCTGCAAATCTGATTATTCAGTTTGGAACACTGTTAAAATTACCAAACGCGGAATGTGAGTTTTCTTGCATCTGCGTTGTAGCAGAGCTGTGGAAAAAAAAAAAAAAAGCCCACCACCTTGTAATGCACATTACCATCTCCTACAGGACTGCAGTGGAACTGCATTACCCGTAGAAATCAGGGACTATTATTTTGAGAAGACGAATGAGGAGGTGTTACATCAGGGCCTTGCCAAATCTGTGGAGAAAAAAAAGTGGCACCACCTTCTAAAGGCCACTACTATCACTTACAGGTCTGGAATGGAATTTATTTCCCTGTGCAAATCCATACATATATACATATATATATTTTTTAATTAATTTGGAACCCTTTTCAAAAGACCAGGTCATGCCAGGTTAGAATAAGAAAACTCAAATCCTTGTAATGAGCATTAGCGCCACCTACAGAACCAGAATGGAATCCTGTGTTTTTTTTTTTTTCTTCCTGTCAAGATGGACATGTTTGGCCTTGGCAAAGGTCGGCCTCATTAGTGCCCGCCTGAATACACGAAGGATTGTTGACCTTGCAAGTACAGATCAGCTGATTGTCATGTGCTTCAAGTCTCTTAGTGGACATAGCGGACGTGAACCTGCAGTGTCTCACACACATACACACACAAACACACACACACACCCAGTGTGATGTTTGACAGATCGCTCGCTCTCCCGCGAGGCTCACAGTAAACGTCCATCTGGTGGCCTCCCATGGGCACTTATTATTCTCAGCCAGCCAGGGGTTTTCTCTTTTCCCGAGCAGTCAAGTCGAGCCCGAATGGCCGCAGCCGTTTTTTCAATTACCCGACCAGCTTGGACCTCCCCGGAAAAATAAAAGTTCCGTTATTTAAGACCCAGACGAAACACGTAATGTCAGGGTATGCCACTTTCCTCACTTGTTCACTGTACTTTTTCCACACCGGGGCCGAGATGATTGATTGGCCACCCCCGCCTTCTCTTGAACAGATGCTCAGAGCCTTGGGGCGGCCCTGAGAGGTCCTGCTGTCCTGTTCTGGCCCAGCCAGGCCTGGCCTGGCCCGGGGCCATGCTGCATGTGAGTCAATGACAGTCACTTGCACTCATCCTTCATCACTTCTTCTCCTGCAGCGACGACGTACCACCCCAAAACTTTTTGTCCTAATCTTTTGTTTTGTCTCTTTTAGACTTGATCTGTCGACCTAACTTATGTAGCATCAATATCACAAAAATAATATGATTAAATAAATTTTAAAATTGTGCTTGGTGATTTTTTTGGGGGGGCGGAAATCTTTCAGGGCAATTTTAAGGGCAAAAAAATACATTGAATTGCAATGTTAGCAAAGCAGCAAATAATATAAAAATGAGTAAAACTATGAGAAAATTACAGTATGTTTTTATGTTGTTTTTTTAAATGTATTTAGGTTTGTTTTTCCAATATTATTGCATAAAATTTCTGAGTTAATCTGTTATTTCAGCAGCTTTTATTTTAAGTTAGTGCAAGTTTTAAGTAAGAGATGGGTGACGACTGATACCAGGTGTTGGTGCCTGGCCGATACCAGCCATATTTTCAGGTATCATACCCGTCTAGGCTGTCGATAAGGCACAAATAAAATGTGACATGATTAAGTCTTCGTAAGCAGCAGTTCGTGCGATACTGCAGTCGTGTCACACGCCGGTGAATCATCATCTGTGTCAGAAAGAAAGGTATTTGTTCCAATATTTCACCTTTGTGTTAAGTGAAATTTTATTTATCTGACGTACTAGGGGTATCGTTCATCGGTATCGTTGAAGACTTGGTATCAAACATCCCTAGGCTATGAGAAAATAATTTGTCATTTGACAATTTATTTTATTTAGTACATTAGGTTACAGTTGCAATTTTATCTTGTCAAAGTGCCATTGCAAAAAAAAAAAAACCTCTTTTTTCCATTCCTTTTTTTTGCTTTGTTTCGTTTTTAAAATAGGTCAAGTGCCCCCCCCCGAACGCTTGTTGTCTCAACAATCTGGGCTACGAGGCGCTCATTTGAATACAATTCAAATCGGGATGCAACTTGGAATGTTGACGGCGCTACGAGCAGCTCAACCCCTGCACATTTGAGGCTTCCTCCATATTTATGGAATGCTTCCCAAAGACGCATGACACACATGCACTCCTAAGTACTATGAAAAATGAAATGCCTCTTACCTAGTGCGGAACTGTCGGTCACATCTGTGAGAGAGAGAGAGAGAGGAAGAAAAAAAAAAAGATTTGTCAGCAAGTTGCATGTAGAGAAAAGTTCCATGTGAAAAATGATGGCATCCCACTCTTGCGCACATTGCTGGTTAAGAATAGCCCCTTTCAACACGGGTGGTGTATCATTTATTAATAGAGAGGACATGAAACGTCTTCCATGGCGTCCCCTGAGATACAAAGTTTGCACAACTTGCATTAATATTTGTCGAGTTATTTGAGGGGGAAGCTCGTTTATTCCACAGAAAGGGCCCTTTCTTGCTTTTGCCAACACACACACACACACACACACACACGAAATATTCCCACACTTCACTTTGCAGGGCACCACATCATCACGTGTAATTTTTCTAGAATACATAAATATATTAAACGCGTTCATTGTGTTCATTTCTGCGAGTCTTTCTTGTCTCAAATGGGTTCATTGCATAAAACGTGACGTGACCAAACACACGTGGGAGTCCTGAAAAATCGCACTTCCTCACCGTTTGTTGGCCAGGTATCCTCGTGACATCAGAGTGACATCACTTGCATTTACCCCGAGCTGTTCTACAAATACGTTGGAGGAAATGTGCAAGGAAAACACTGGACGTAGCTTCCCGTTCTTCCTACGTAGGTAACGTGATCGCGCGGCCGGCATTAGCATTTTCGCCGCGCACGCTGCGAATTCCCGCGAGCCCAAAGGCGGAGGAGAGTGTGATTACAATATCTGTTCAGTGCGTGCAAACAAATCTATTTCCAGCAGAGTAAAAGGGATGAGGGGGCGGGCGGTACGCGGGGGAGTTCGGTCCTTGCTCATTACCATTCAGGTTGAACACACACCCACTGCCAGCACTGTAATGTATCTAAACACAAAGCTCAACCCACCGCCTTGAAGCTCAGCACAGGGGAAAATTGGACCCGTGGGAGGTCGGTAGAAGGGACTTTTGTCAGACTTCAAGAGGCACAGCAAGCACCTGGGTTTTCGCTAAGTCCACCAGCAGCCCCGTTGTTTGGTAGACTGGGAGAGAGGGACTGAGGTCTAAAAAAATATGATAGATGGCAACGAAATAACAGGCAGAATAGACCACCGTGTTTGTCTCTCCTGGCGTATCACTTTGCGACATGACATTCTTAAATATTAAAACGAGTGAAATATTTCCGATCCAAAATCTCTGTGTGTGGAGGAAGCAGACTATCACTAATTCAACTGAACGTAGAATTATGACGTGCACATTATGTAGCCAATCAAGGAGAGCCGTGAGTTCGAAAACGCGGAAGTGAGTGGCCCTAAATTAAAAACAAACTTCTACTCTTCGTCAGGTTTTTTTGTGTGAAAGTGACTTCCCCAGACGGCAATAAATAAATTCCAAATGAAGTCTCTTTGATGCGTGGTGGAATAGAATTCTAATATAGCATAGTACTAAAAAAGTGTAAAATGCCAGATTTATTAAATCTTCGTGTGTGTGTGTGTGGGGGGGGGGGGCTGTTATGGACAAACAAACTTTCAAGATATGATAAAATCTTTTAATGTATACCAGGCCAAAAGTGCCAATTAGAAAACACGTAACGCTTCATCTGCCAAGAAAAAGCCTCGAAAAGAAAATTTCTCCACTCCGTGAGGTTATCGATGGGGTAAATTTGGAAAGGTGGCCAATCAAGTCAAGTGGAGGTAGACTTAAGAAGCGTAAGTGGATTAAAGCAGTGAGACGCAGGGAAAAGGAGACTCTCACGGGAGAATGCAAAGCTCTGGTGGCTTCGAAAAAACGTGGGGAAAAAGATGGAAGAAGTGGAAGAGTATGTTTTTTTTTTTTTTTACCCTCCATTGCCCTCCTGTTTTAAGCAGATAAGCTCCTTCCAAGGGTCTTAGTTATGCCGTGAGGAACCTGCAGTCCGACATGGAAACTTTTGACAAGGCAAAGAAAGACTGTCTTTTCTACATTGACAAGAGGGAGTTGGGGAGGTTTAAGGTGGTCAGTGCTACAGGGAATTCGAAAAGGAAAAAGCTCAGTGTGTACAGCGAGCAGCCCAGTGTTTACATTTGACTGGTCAGTAAAGAGTACAACTACGAAAAAAAAAAAAAACAGCTTTGTGTGGTTGACCATCAGAATATTCCACAAGCGAATGAAAATTGCAATTGATAAAGTGCTGAATACGAAAATGAGCTGATTTCACGCGGAGGGAGCAGATATTTTAAAATCAATAGGAAAAAAAAATTGTGAATATTGGGAGATGAAATGGAAAAAAAAATCTGTGGTGACAAGAACTTTCTCAACCCAAATTAGGTCAGAAAAATACAATTGAACTTTGTCGTTGGTTAATTTCAACAGAGTTCTATAAGAATGTGAATGGTCGAGTGCTGAAAATACAGCAAAAAAAAAAAAAAACAATCCTCAACTTCCTTTCATATTACTCGACTCAAGTTCATTTAAAAAGCGATTTCTCAACAGCTGCAGTTGTAACAATGTGCTGTCCAGAAAACAATCACAATAATGATCAGAATTAGAACTGCAATGATGACGACATTAAATTTACGACTCACCTCGTGCTTAACGATCAATAGCATAGCGAAACAAAATCCTTCAAAACGCACTCCCGACCTTCCACACGTCAAGTTAGTTTGGAAAAATAACACTGAGCAGATCACAGTTTACACTGGCTGATTGCGAAAACATTCATCGAGCTGCCGGAGAAGCAACCCCTGATGAAAAAGGTGGCTGGTAAACTGACATTATTAATGCCAACTTTCGTTGCCAATTGAGGACATATAATATATATAAATATTAATGACAGGGTGAAGTTTGTGACTGGTAGAACCCCGATTCCACCTGAGGCCATGTTGGCGTCGGATATGATGAAAAAATCAATACGGTTCTTGCATGGACGTGGCTTCATCTTGGACGGATTTGGCGATGACACAGACTGACAGGGAACCTCAGAGAACATCGCGCACCAAATCGTACTGTATGTTGCTGGCTCAACAACCACTGCTAACTCCTACTGGTTTATTTATGTCAGACCATCTGGGTTTGCACATTTTTCCTTTTTCCAAGAGGAAAAGAGAGAATTTGCTTATTCGCAAACCAAAAGCGACAGTGCCGGATATGGAATGAACAAGAGACGTCGGTCAATTTAGTTCACGACGAGAAAGGCCTCTACTTCGGCAGTAACATTGTCACCTGCTCGCCAGCGTGGAATGAGGTCAGTTGTTCTTACCGTGCCACATAAAGCGACAAAAATGGGCAGGCAGCTGAAAAAAAAGGAGCGTACCGGGTGAAGGAAGGTGTGAAGCAGACGTTGGCGAGGACAGAATGAGAGGAGTAAGTGATACAGGAAGAGAGCCTGTAAGAGAGCTTGCATCCTTCCATCTGAGCTGCGAGGAATTAGCGAGGCTCTGACAGAGGCTACAGATGGCCCGGGATCACACAGACTGCGGCGGGAAGTTTGCACGAGTCAGACAAAGCAGGCAGATCGGCGACAAAAACTTCAGGGACGTCAAATTCCATCACACAAAAACTTATTTGAGGATAAACTTAAAATCCAATATAACTTTTTCAGGTAAGCTTATCCCCCCAAATGCCAAACATATCGCATATGATCCCTTGAGTTTTTTTAAGGGCTCAGCATCGTTTTGTTGTTCTTTGAAAGCCGGATGTCTACGATGAAATAGAGTCAAAGATAATCTACGAGAGGGCAGTAATTCTCAAATTCCATATTCTGTGTTTAGCCAATACAAATAACTTTGTCTCAAGTGAGTCTGCTAGCTTAATGCTAAAATGTGATGAAAAAACAAAACCGAATAACTTTGTCTCAAGTGAGTCTGCTAGCTTAATGCTAAAATGTGATAACAAAACCAAACCGAATAACTTTGTCTCAAGCGAGTCTGCTAGCTTAATGCTAAAATGTGATAACAAAACTAGCATTGATCGAGCTACCCCGGAGTAGTTACGAACCTTTCAATACCCGATATTTGAACACAAACAGTGAAGGGACTGGAATGGATTTATGGCGTTTCTATTCATTTCAGTGAATGGCGGTTCAAGCGATTTGAGAATGTCATGGACAAATTAACTTTTAAGCTAAGCTATCACGACACGTTTTTCTAAAACTGTATAAAATGTCTGCTTTGAATTTGGAACAGTCGGCATCTACGGCCTGTTAATGTGTTAGAAAGCACTGAAAAGTTGGACATTTTAGGGTTCACTGGTGAAAACTTTTTGTGAGTAGTATTTTGCTCGGATGTTTTAGATCTTTCGATCAAAGTGACTTTGGAGCGCAGTGGTGGGAAATTAAAAAAAAAATCGATCAGACAGCCTTCAAAGGGTGTCGGAGCGCGGAATGTTGAAGAGCCATTTCTTTTTCAGCAGATGTTCTCGTTTGCCAGTGCATCTGCCTCTCGTTCGCTATCATGCCATTTTGCTCTGTCAACTGTAAATAAAACAGGAGCAAAATAACCATCCTCAGGCGTCATCGCAATGATTCTCAATGCTTCTGGAATTTGGGGTGGAGCCAGTCCAAGGTACGAAAGCAGATGTCGTCACTGCTGTCAGTTGTTGTCGCTTCTGTTGTTGAGGCTAACGTGGTCCTCGAAGGTGTTGTCAACACCTCAAACTGGTTGGACAGACGTTGCCTCAGTTGTTCCAAGACTCTGACTTGCTACCAGTGCTTGTCACTGCAGTTGTCAACGTTGTAGTTGCCTCCGTTGTGGTCGAATCTGTTGTGGCTACAGCTGTTGTTTCAAAGAGTGTCACTGCTGTTGGCAACGCAGCTCATTGTTGTTGTTGTGGGTTCAGTTGTTGTGACTAGCAGGTGTAGCCACTTCCAATGCAGTTGTAGAATTCTGTTGTTGTTGTTTCAGAAGGTGCTTGCAACTGCCGGTCACGTCTCTGTCCTATTGCAGACCACATCGCCTATTTCCATTGGTCCACTTTACAATCCAGCAAAAATACTCACAGCCTTATACTACGACGACACACCACAATCCTCTGGTTCTAAACCCA